CTACACTTTTCAAAAGCCGTTTCATTGCTATCCAATGGTGTTGTCCTTGCCACTAGTCAGTGCTCCCCGTCCTGCTTCTTACTATATAATTATCCATCTCTATTAGAATCTGTGTCCCTCTTAAAGTCCCTATTTTCCTTCCCTCTTAAGTTTTGTTGTTGTTGTTCAGTTGCACAGCAGAGTCCAACTCTTTGTGATCCCACGGACCACATCACGCCAGGCCTTCCTGTCTTCCAGCGTGCTCCGGAGTTTGCTTAATTTCATGTTCGTTGCCTCGATAACACTGTCCAACCATCTCATCCTTTGCAGTCCCCTTCTTCTTTGACCTTCAGTCTTTCCCAGCATCAAGGTCTTCTCCAGTGAGTGCTCCCTTCTCATTTAAAAAGTTAACAGGTTGCAATCTGTAGAAATGTTCATGATAACTTGCTTGTGGAAAATGACACGTAGGCAATGAAAAGGACAGGGCTCTGCAAATGGTGACTGGGCATCCAGCAACCAGTGAGGTTTAGCTGCTCAACAAAAGCATAGTTTGTGTACTGCTGATATACTTGCTACCCTGTAAGCTAGCCTGCTGATATATTTGCTACCCTGTAAGGTAGCCCGCTCCTTGGGAGGAAAGTGATGGCAAACCTTTTTTTTTGGTTAAAACCGCAAACCTTGACAGCATAATAAAAAGTAGAGACATCACCCTGCCAACAAAAGTCCGTATGGTCAAAGCAATGGTATTCCTAGTAGTAATGTATGGCTGCGAGAGTTGGACTATAAGGAAGGCCGAGCGCCGAAGAATAGATTCTTTTGAACTATGGTGCTGGAGAAGACTCTTTAGAGTCCCCTAGACTGCAAGGAGATCAAATCAATCAATCCTAAAAGAAATCAACCCTAACTGTTCCCTGGAAGGCCAGATACTGAAGCTTGAAGCTCAAATACTTTGGCCACCGAATGAGGAGGGAGCACTCACTGGAGAAGACCCTGATGCTAGGAAAGATTGAAGGTCAAAGAAGAAGGGGACGGCAAAGGATGAGATGGTTAAACAATGTTATCGATGCAACGAACATGAAATTAAGCAAACTTCGGAGCACAACGGAAGACAGGAGGGCCTGGCATGATGTGGTCCATGGGACTGCAAAGAGTTGGACTCGACTGTGCGACTGAACAACAACAAGGTATGTGCAGGGGAAATGTCTTTATTTGTGGTCAGTAGCTTGCCTGATCTCATCAAATCTTGGAAGCTAAGCGGATTGACCCTAGTTAGTATTTGGATGGGAGACCACAGTGAAATTCCAGGGTTGGTACACAATAGGAAGGCAGTGGCAAACCACCTCCAAATGTCTCTTTCCTTGAAAACTCTATGGGGTCACCATAGGTTGGGTGCGACTTGGTACTTTACACACATGCAGCTTTTAAACAACTTATTCCTATATACATACCAAGAGTGTTTCCTACTGGTTGCCAGAATTTATGGTTACCACTTCAGCCTCTTGAGATTGTTTTTATGGACCTCTGGAAATCTAGCTATGTATTTCTTATAAGCACTAGGTAGATAATCATAAACATTTCAGCTAGCACTTTGCAGCTGCCAGAAGGTACAGTGTATATGTATTAGCAAGGGTTGAAAATTCAGCTATGTATCTGAGGCCAAAGATCTAAAGGACAAACAAGAAATAAAACTGCATCTATCTGGAATTTTACTTATTTTCAGTGTACCACAGCGAAATGGATAATTCACTATCCAATTAAAACAAGTGATTTGCCTCTTTGACAATGTGAAGTTCTATGATGAAAGCAGGTAACATTCACTTTTATACAAGATATTTTACCATGTGTATATGCCCCACCTTTGTAATCCAGCTCATTATAAAATCTTTAAAAACTGGGTGACAGACCTGAGCTGCTTCAAAGAAATTTCAGTGATATAATTGTGCTCTTTTAAAATAATTCTAAAAGTAAGTTGGATAGCAGTAAAAATAAAATGTTATTTTTGGTCAGGGTGCAGGCAGTGGGAATGCATATTTCTTTTTTATTATTATTGGTTGTCATTGTGGTTTATATTGAAAGATGACAGTTCTCTAGGGAGGTGGGTTAGTCATCAGACTTTCTCAGTCCCATAGAGTTTTATATTGAGAAACCTGTGAGTTGTTTGTAGACATGGGAAATTTGGATTTTTTTCCATTGTCAGACTCTGTATGGAATGTTTTTAATCCTATTACAAATAAAAAGCAACCTTTATTTAAAATATACACAAATATTCTTGAATAACTGCTTCAGACATTTTCACGTAGAACCATGTGATTATGACATTTATATTAAAAGTTCATTCATTTATACCCTGCCTTTGTGCTTTAGGGTTAGGCTGAATGCCTTATTTTAATCTATATATCTAATAGCCAAGTTGCCCCCTGAGTGCGGATTGCTAAATCAGTACTCCGGGGGCACTTGGAGGGGAGGGGGAGGTTTGTGCACACGTGGGCCAGTCCCCACGTGTGCACAAAATTTGAAAAAGTTGAAAAAAATTTCGGGGGGATGTTTAAACCCCCCCGAAAGTGACAGAGCGTCCCCTGTGCATGCGCAGGGAACACACTGTAGCTGGCCTCGCCGCCACGCCTCCTCCTCCTCCTCAGAGCCGGGCGGGCGGGGGAACCGGCCTCGCCGCTGCCGCCGAGCCCGGCAAAGGGGGGGGGAGGA